ACTGGAATAACAAATGCTCACGCTGTGATGACTATGACACTTTTAAATATGTAATTCAATAAATAAATTTAAAATATCAATTATATACATAAATCATAGCATATAACCATTGCCTGCAAGGACTCAATTTATAGTTTTTAAAGAAAATACAATCAGGTTATTGTTAATATAGAAAAATTATGGTACATCACTATACACTACATCAGCCATCAATATAATTTTGTTAAGTTGAAAACACTGATTGACCTACCTTCCAAATGTCTATCTCCATAGTCTATATCATGTTCTCCATTAGCCTCACTATTCACATTACATGCACCAGTGAATCCTTCATTTGACGCAACATCATATGGTGAATCCACATCACTCAAATCAGTATCACTATTATCCTCCATTATCTGTATCTTAACAGATGATGCTGACATCTTGGAAGATACCCAATGAAGAGGATTTGGCAAACTTGGCCATCTGTCATTATGAGGAAGAAATGAAAACGTTCCATAACTTTGTTTCTCTTTCATTTCATTCCAGTTAATATCTTCTTCTGGATCAGGTTCAATACAGTGTTGCTGTGATTCACTTCGTTTCATATTTATATCTATTCGTTATAGTGTAGTTAATTGGAAAAGGTAAAGAATGAGGAAATGTTCCAAATTTATAGCTTGTGCTGAGTCCCAAAAGTGAGCAGAAAAACAGATGCTGAAGATGAAGATAAGATACACTACCGGTACAGCTGCTAATGATGTTTCAGTATACAGGTATCTTTAAGTATGGTGTCTTCACAGAGGAAGAATGATAGACAGACGAATCGTGAGTGAAGTAGCAGAAAGAATTGATTGTCACGTATGGTATTGAGTCTTGTTACAGAATGTATGCAATTGCATGATTTGTTGGTTGTATATGAATGAATATGGTAATCAAGCCGTCATGATTCGATGTTAACAGGAATTAATAAACTGACATAAATTCCAGTGCTTAAAAAAAAACCTGTTAATTAGTTAAAGCACAGCGGTCGTTGTGCAGCGCATGTTCGACTTTCATGTAAATAAACAATGTATTTTACATGCGTTGTATACGTCGCTATGAGTGCCATATCGAACAGGGCGCGGCACGATGACTGCCGCCCTTTAATTTACAATATATATATATATATATATATATATATACCGTTAAATCTGTATTAGAAGTCGCATCCCTAATAGAATCCGCACCCATTCTTTTTGAATAATTGAGAATCAAAAATTCATCATTTCTCATGTGTAGATGCTCTAATAGAAGGCGCATCCCGTCTATTGCTTTATAACATTTCAATAGAAGTCGCGGCTTCTAATACAGATTTTACAATTAGTTGTATACTGAACGTGCAAAGAATAATATGATAATATGATAATAACAAAATTAATAAGATGATAGAAAGGTTTGTTGTAAAAGTGATTTAAACTGATGAAAGAGGCAAATACCATGGTGATGACGTTGCTATAGTGAACACATCAGATTTCAATATCTACAACATAAGAATGAACTCGTGTGATTTGTATTTGTTGATGCAGAAAAAAAATGCTATCTTCACAGCAGGAGAAATATTAAATGCCTGCCTACCTACTCACAGTTTATGTACAGTATGTGGTCCTAATGTAATATTATTTTAATAAATTATCCACAAATTTTAATTAAAAATACTATAATGATCTTATGCAGCTATTGTGTAGATTTGATTTCATATTTATGATAATTTAATTGTGGTTTTTATATACTACCATACTAATATTATGAATAACAATGAAAATACATATTTTTAAAAACTAGTGAAACATAAACTGGTAATGATGAGAATTGATAAATCCAGGGTAGGAAAGTCAATGCGGTTTTTAAAACTGAAGGTTGTTTCATGCAGTGTTCAAAGGTACAGAAAAACTATTATAAAAATTAGTTTAAATATTACTTTTAAGTATATTTTATAAACAATTTTTAGGACTGAACCAGAAGGACTGAAAAATGACTGCACAAGAAAAGTTGGAATTTAAAAAATAGAATAAAATGGTAAACATAAAACAAAAATGATAGAAATATTATAGCAGAAGATGTTCAGATTATAATACCTCAGAATGAATACACAAAATTACATATTTCAAGAAATTACATGTGATAATTATTAAAATATATTTGATCAAAGAGTTGAAATTTTTAATCATATCATCAAACACCTCATTTCATGTGTATGTTGATGCTAATCTTGTACAAATATTGTGTGTTAACTTGATTTCAGTCAAAGTAACTTTAAAACGGTCATACGAGGAAATATTTTAATGGGGTGGAAAATTAATAAGATAGATAAATAAATTACAGATATGCTTGTTAACTATAGTTGAATTTTACCAAACAAGTGTAACCTATTATGAGAATAAACTCAAAAATAAATTGTTTACATTTTCATAATTGAAATTATTACAATCACGGTGTTTTTACAAATAAATTGTTTTTTTAATTAATTATAGTAAAATGAACTAATTTAGTAAAAGGTATGGTGAAAATGAAAGGAATAGCCCATTATAACCAAGATATTAAATGTACACCTGACATGAATTCTAAAAAGGATACTGGTGATGATGAAAAGCTGATGTCGATGATGATGCAACTATCTTTCAATAATCACCCTGTAGAATAAAGCATATGGGTGATCAGCAAGCAAGATGAGAAAACAGCTAGATGTGGAAGAAGATGATGACGATGGAGCAGTAATTTGTGAATTCAGCAAGAGACTCGTGCTCAGAGATGGTGAGCTCAGTTCTAGAGGTGCATAATATGTAAATATCTATCAACCATTTAGAGTTTAGAATGTTGAGAAGTAATTGTAAGGTTTTCTTACACAGAGAAGTCCTGCAAGATGTTCAGGTATTTCCAGAGATGATGAGTCTTGTTAAAAAAATATACTGATGTATTTCCTACTCTGTGAATGAAGCCCAAGAAGAGAAAATAATTAGTATTTAGGGGTATTAGGTGTACGTACATGTACATATAGGAATTCATAAAAAAAAAAAAAATAGATGAAAAAAAAACATAGACCATATTTGCTACATAAACAAAATTTTGGCTGGAAAAATATGCATTCCGTAATTTTGACAGGTAAAAATAATTGTCTACTTTTTACATCAATCAAAAACATGGTTTCCAGATCTAAAACTGAAAAAAATCTAAAACATCTCTACTCGACACACTTTCTCAATCCTAAATGTTCAGGTCAGAGTAATGTGCCAATGATGTAAACCCCGACCTTGACCTTGACCTTGACTATGGGTGTTATTGGGAAGTATTGAGCTAATCCCAGATCATTAATACTCACAGCAGCCCCAGAGACTCGATCGGGATAATCCGGGTTAAAGAAACTACTGAAAATTGGACAAAGTCAGAACAGTGCTGCAGGACAGTTCCTTAATTCATATATGCCCACTGATGTTTCAGAAGAAGGAATTAAGAATGGGGAATGGCATGATCATGATCATGGTAGTAAATCACTTTTTGTTTGTCCCAGGGATAGGCCACTAATAAACCTATACACTGGTGCATAACAAGAATCATATTTACTATATCCGAATAGTTCGGATTTTCAACCTATAAAATAATGGTTGTGACAAACAAAGCAATATTAATGAATAATGAATAGCTGATGTTTCTACCTGTAAATCACCAACCAACTGTCACATTGTAGAAGTTCCAGAGATAACTATCTATAAATATACCCACAATGCATTTCTACATCAATAATCACTCGTGTTGTACATTTGACATTTGCAGACAATGACTGTTCTCTTTATAGGAATGCTGTGATTGCAGTACATGTACATGCACTCATGGATTCAACTTAAAGCATCCAATTTCAAGGAAATGTCTGAGTAATGGAAATTCTCAAAGAATATATCCGATGATTTTCCCAAGATAGTTATAATCAAACTGGTGGGGCAGCAGCAACAATGGTCGTCAT